ATCTCGACACCTTAATCCTCACTACGGGGGGCGGAGCCTATCCCAGCTGACTCAGGGCGAAGGCAGGTTCACCTGGACAGGTAACCAGTCTATCACAGGGCTACACTTAGAGACAGACAACCAAGCACACTCACATTCACACCTACGGACAATTTACAATCACCAATTAACCTCAGCATGTTTCTGGACTGTGGGAGGAAGCCGGAGAACCCGGAGAGAACCCACGCTGCACGGGGAGAACATGGAGACTCCACGCAGGAAGATCCCGGGTGTCCTCACCGGGACGCCAACCGGCGACCTTCTAGCTGTGAGGCCACGGTGCTAACCACTGAGACACCGTGCAGCCCGAGATATCAGTTGTTGGTTCTAGTTTTGTTTTAGGTCGTCATTGAGTCTAGATTGTTGGGCCAAAAATGTCCGTTTTGCCCGTTTAAAACTTAAATCTTCAACTCAACAGAGTGTGCAGAGAGTCAAGGATCGCAAACAAACAAAATACATGAGCTACATCTGTACAACACACGACAGGTGACCACAGGCAGGTAGGGGAGGGGACGTACTGAAGCTTATAAATCCTGTGTAGGGTTTGAAGAGCATGTTCTCAAGTGTGACCAGGTGTAAGGTTTTTCCAATTTTTCTTAATTAAATAAACTTTAAATTAAAAAAAGAAAGATTTATGACCGTATCACTGCGTCATGGTGCACAGGAGACTCACTGGAGGTCTCTCTCCTCCTGGTCCTGGTTCTTCTGGTTCCATAGAGGTGCAGGACTTTAAAAATGAGCCCACAGTGAGTAGAAATGTGACCATAATCACCCAGAAACTACTTGGAGTTCAGAGGGTTAATTAATAATGAAAATAATGGCTGCTTGCTGCTGTGCTGACCACCGTGATGTGCTGAGGGGAAGCTGGAGTTCATTAAGGGAAGTAGATGCCGTCCACGCTGTGGTTCCACCACTTCCCACTTTCTGACTCTTATTCACAACTCCGACTTCGTTTCCTCGTCATGCTCGACTTTTCTTTTTCTTTTTTTTTTTGTTGTTTTAAAAAGTCGGTTTATTTAAAGAGCGGCGGCGGCGACTGAGGAGCGGCTGATGGAGAACGGACACGTTTCCACAACAACAACAACAACAACAACAGATCGGTGCGTTAAATTAAAAATAATTCTCCTCGGCTCGGGTGACGCCAGAGTAGATGAAGCCGTATTGATCCTGGAGGGGATGCTGGTCGATGCAGCACACGGGGTTATAAATAGACTGCAGGCTGCTGGAGGAAATAGAAGCACACGCTGCGTGTTTGCAGAGAAACCGATGAATGAAAAGTGTTCAATAAGTTTGAAGCGTGAGCCGTGGTGCTTTACATGTAGCTGGGATGGAGGCGGTCATTTGCATTGGAGACAGGTCGCCTGTTATCTGTTTATCAAATGTTAATATGCAGACAGGAGGAGGGTGTTTGTGGATTAAATAAAGGAGCAGAAACAGGCAGATGTTGGACAAACAGCTTCTTATGATTTGATAGACTGGAGCTGATGTGTGTTTGCAGCTGATTGACTTTAATCGTTTCTGCTCTTTAATCGGTTGGATGCAGGGAAGAGAAACCTCCAGATGAACTAAACGGGCCAGAAGTTAGTTCTCTCGTCTGTTTTTCATGTGATAATTCAGTTTTACTTGTTTAGAAAGAGTACAAAACGTTTCGTTGCACTTCGTATGTTCAGATGTTACTTTTGATTTTCAGTTAATTTTTGGTGACAGTTTTTGAATTTTGCACAAATCTGTAGAAATGTTGTTTGAACCCTTCATGCATTTGCCGATAAACTACAGCAGCACCTCCGTATATACGACACCTGCTGCTGTTGTCGAGACAAATTGAGTTTCCTTCATCTGTAGAAACAGTCTGAGCTGCGACTAGTTCTGTTCCAGATGAGCTGCTGAGATATAAACGGACTTTTCATACCAGACAGATGTGCTTCAGTCTCCTAATAATCAAAACTTTTGTTGTCTTTGCGTTTGAGTTGGATCAATGTGTAGAAACATTTCATTTTAATGCTTTTTTTCCTTCATCGTACACAATGCAGGTGTCTGTATTTAAAAGAAAACACACTTGGCAAGCTGTAAAAGAAAATAACTCCGTAAGCAAACGAAATACCGTCACAGAAAATAAACACTTTGGGGCAAACAGGAGGTGTTAGCGCCACACGCTACCATCGTTTTTTACACTTTTCTACATTATTGAGTCTTGAACATGTTGGAATGACCTTTAAGTGTCTAAATGTATGAACAGCAGCCGTTATCACACTCTGACCTGCTAAATGTCGGCCAGCGGTTCCTGTTTGCAGGGTAACCGTGGCAACAGATAACAATCAGCAGATTGCTGCTGACGCCGAAGAAAACGTCTAAATGTGTCGCGTGTGTGATGCAAGGCGTGAAGTTGTCCAGCGTTCACTCTGTTTAACCTCAAAACGTCGGCCTCTCACTACAACACACTGTTATTAGGATGAAAAGCTATATTTACTCAACAAAATAAATCTAAATGTTGGGTTAAAATATGTAAAAACTAGTGAAAATAATACAGAAATACAACACTAATCGTAGTAAAATAATACAAATTTAATTTGGGCACATTTTAATGACCAGTATTAAACTGATCACAGCCTGATGTAATCAAATAAAAACTAAAATAAACATATTTAGGTAGATACCAGAGTCAGATTTGGACTGGCCTCCATATTAAACGGCCCTCATCCTGCTTTCTTGGTTCCTCCTTGTCCTAAAGTGTTTAATAAAGCTGCTCTTTGTGCACGTAAAAGGTCTTTAAACTTATTTAACATCCAGAGTCCAGGCTTTTCTTCTGCTACTTGTTCACGTCACCACGTAACACATAGCTGCTGTCAAAAACAAACCGTTCGCTCGAACCACATTCTGTAAAAACACTAAAAATTCACCGTTCATCTGCACGACTCGGCGGCTTCACCACTGGTTTCATTTCATTTACAAATCAGTTCTGGCCCAGACTCCTCTCTACCTGTCCTCTCTTCTTCATCCATAACTCTCATCCTACGAGGTCTAGTTAATACATCGAGCTCATCATCACCAATACTTCTACTGTTTTTGGCCGTAACTCCTTTGCAGCTGCTTACAACTGGAACAACTTACAAAACACCATCAAACTTCCAGCTTTGACTCTGCTCACCACCTTCAAGGTTAAAATCCAACAGATTGTAGTCGACTGTTGCTCCTGCTGATCACGCCGGACTTTACTTACATGTTATATATATACAGACACACACTTTCTTACAGCTCATGCACATGGTTTTTCACTCACATGCAGATGCCACCATGCTTCCTACATTTTGCTGTATGTCATGTTCATGTGTCTATTTGTGTCTGTAGTTTACATGTGCGTTTGTTCCTGTTGGCGCCTTTTGGTCAGCTCATGTTTGCAAATGAGAACTGGCTCTCAAACATTTTTACCTGGTAAAATATAAAAACAACAACTATGAAGCCGTTAATGACTCGGCTGTGACCAACAGTTACGTGATGAAGATCTGGAGAGTTTTCGGTTGAACTGCAGCAGAGCGAAGAGGAGACAAGTGTGGAAATAAAACATAGTTGACCAATAACATAAATGCAGCGTGGCTCATAAAGGACATACAGAGGAGCACGTTGTTGGATGATACAGTCGGCACGGTGAAACATCTTTCTTCAGCTGATGAGTCGAGTTAAAAATGAGTTTGTCGAGGTTGTAAAAGTGTGCACAGTTAAATATGTGCAGCAGGTGAAGCCCAGATTGTCTTCTTTCTAATATTGTGGCACCTGGAAAGATGCTGCACATGTTGATTCCAGTTTTATTTCATTGTTGAGCTGCAGGACTTTATGTTGCAGTGAAAAACGATCCCCCAAAAATGTACCAGGATAAAAAAAAAACACCCAGAAGCAGCTTCACTGGGGTTCAGGCGGTTAAATGTAGGTTTCCGTGCTGCAGATTTGGGCTGATAGATATGCAAATCATCATGTATTTTTCCACTGAAGCAAACATAAAACCAACGGTGTGATTTTTGCCGTGGTTAACACCGAACAAGCATGTTCTGTCACATCCAGAGAAGACGATTTGTTCGCCCGAGCTTGTCTGCAGCGCCACGGTGCTTCATTTATAATGTCTCTGGATGGTAATGCGCAGATTAAAAGACTTTCTGAGGAGGACGGCTGCACCGGGGGAGCTATATCGGGTCGGTTCGCACTCGGGCCCGAGGCTGCTAAGTCTAAAATCAGCAGGGAACTTTGCAGAGCAGATGCTCGAGTGGAGCCGGCGTATGTCACAATTCACAATCAGCTGCTGCACAGACACTTAGTGTTAACGGACGAGCCGAGGTAAAGCCGTAAACAGCTGCACGCAGACGGGGCAGATGTTCGTTCACGTTCAGCTACTCGGTGTCTCGTTTGTTCTTGTTACGATTTAATTGTTGTTCTTTAAAACCAGAGTGATGCGGGCGTTTTAAATCTGTTCAAAACCCCCAAATCTGTTCTTTGTTTTTAGTGTCTTTTGTTTCCATCGTGCTACTAAACATCAGGAAGGCTGATGATGAATTTCCTGCTTTTCCTGTCGTATATTTCAGTTTGTAGGCCTCCCCTCATATCTCCAGAGTCAGCTGGTCTCACCTGGACTTTACATTAACAATATGAAACCTGCTCTGACTGAGGACGTCTGTGTGGATTCTCAGACAGGTTGTGATACTTCAGGAATGTATTAACTGTCAGCCGAGGAGACTAAGAGTGAAACCTAAATCATGTCTCCTGCTGAGTCTGACCCTTGTTTCCTCTCTTGCTCATCACAGGCATGAATTCATTTCTGTGAAAGCAAATTTTCTTTATGAGAAGTCTGTTGTGAATAACTGTAATGGCCTGTTTCAGTTTGAAGGAGGAACTCCGACCAGCGGGAACCAGAAATCTTTTGTCTTTCGGCTAAAAAGGATCTGAAAGTCCTGAAGTGTCGTGCTGTGTGTTGTCAGGGAGCGTCCGGTGAACCGGCCGCCCGAGCTGCTGTACCCGCAGGCCGACGTGGCGGAGCGACTGGCGCTCGGCGGCAGCGATGACGCGCTCGCCAACGGCACCAAGCCCGACCTGCAGGCCGCCAAGCGCCTCGCCAAACGCCTCTACAGCCTGGACGGCTTCCGGAAGTCTGACGTCGCTCGACACCTCAGCAAGAAGTCAGTGTTGGTGTCCGTGTGAGCAAAAGTTTCAGGCACTGAACAGGAAGTGATTCAAAACACGGGCCTTTATGTTTTTATTTTTTCATCACCTGAGACACCTGATGTTTACTCAGCTGTGTGATCTGTGTGATGTCATCAGGGAGGAGGAGCCAGAGCTGACTTCCCGAAAGCAGAGTGTAAACAAATGTGTGAAGCCGACTGTAAAAACAGAAACAGCTGATCGGTGTCACTCCATGATGTCGGTCCATTAGCTACACTTTGTTTTACTAGAGTTACGCACAATCACAGACACCTGCAGCTGCTTGTTTCTTTAGCAGCACACATATATCTCATGTCTAGATCCCTAAAGATGTCACTTTCTGACTTTTTGAAGGAGTATTCAGACATTTGAAGCATATTTCACAGGGAGATGTGAGCCGTGTCAGTGCCTGAAGCCTTTGTGAATGTTTTAGTTAAATCGACTGTATGGATGTTGTTGATGAAATGTTCTGTTTTAGTTAAATGGATGTTGTTGATGAACGCTTCCTGCTTCTCTCTGCAGTAATGAGTTCAGTCAGATGGTGGCCGAGGAATATCTCTGCAACTTTAACTTCAGCGGTATGACCATCGACCAGGCGCTCAGGTCAGTGCTGCTGCTCGTGTGGATTTATGGTTAAATGATGTCGTGTTCAGAGTTTCATTGATTTTATGTGTTTGCTGACTTCAGGCGTCACTGATGAGGTTATTTAACATCGTTAACTAACGAGGTGAACTAATGAACTTCACTAACCAGCTGTTTGTTCAGGACGAGTCTGGTGACGTCAGACATCAGTGATGAGGTTAATGAATTAGTTAAGCAGGTTAACTGACAGCGGGTTGTTTGTTCAGGACATTCATGAGACACTTTGATATCAAACGTCACTAATAGGGTAAATTACAACAAGATTAACTAATTATTAATTAGGTTTCTTAGGAGTAAATCCCTAGTTTGACATCACACATAGCTAACGAGGTAAATTAACCAGATTACTGAATAACGTTTAGTGACCAGGTTACCTAGCCTGTTGTTCATGGCGCTCCAGAGAGGGTTCATGACGTCAGACATCACTAACGAGGTGAACTAACGAGGTAAATCAGAGGTGAGTTACTGGCGTTGACTAACGAGGTCAATTAACAGCATGTGGTGTGTTCAGGACGTTCCTGAGACAGTTTGCTCTGATGGGAGAGACTCAGGAGAGAGAGAGAGTCCTCGCTCACTTCTCCAGGAAGTACCGGCAGTGTAACCCAGAGAGCCTCAACACAGAAGGTACCGGCTGTCTGGAACCTACCTGTCTGT